TGGCTCCACTGTAATTGATATTCTGCTCTCTCCATGGGGTTTGTATATTTTAAAATCTAAATTTTTAAAATTTGTGACGTTTTTATTTTAATAACTTTCAATCTTTTTATACATCTGTTTTTATTTACTTATTTTATTAATTGTTGTACACAACCCAGAGTCACTTTGTGTGAGATGGGCGGCTATATAAATGTGATAAATAAATAAATAAATAAATATTCTTTCCCTGTCTATCAAGCCTGTATTTCCCCTTTCTCTGGGATTTTCCTGTGCCTATTTTAAATTGTGACTCCCTTGGAGTAGGATTTTGTCATACACACAAACATACATGACAATATATAAATAAAATTAAAAGTAATAACTTCTGGTCTCTGTTCAGAATAGTCTTCTAAAGTAATGATCTCAGAGGATAGTTTCAACTCTGCCATTACTAAATAGAAAAGGACAGAAGGCTTGTGAGATAAAATGGATTAGGAATGGCTTCTTTGACAGCTCCATTCCTACAATCAGCAGATACAACACAAAGCTTCATGTTGTTTCAGTGTTCCTATTACCTGTTCCCATTCTCATATTCTGTGTCACCACAATCTGGCTTGGTCCACACGTTGAATTCGTAGTCTGCAATGGGGAGGGAGCTGCCAAACACCACTGAGGCAGCAGAAGTATTGATGCTGCCACTGCCATTCACACTGTTGTCACCATCACCTTCCTGGTGTTCCACCTTCTCGACATGAGCCAAATTCCCAGAGTCAAATTTGGAGCTGAACAAGAGGCCACCACAGCGTATTTCCATCGTAATCTCGGTGACCAGAGTGGTTTCATCCTCCTACAATATGTTGCCTGAAGTATCTCCTATGGAGCAAAACAGAATGGCTACATTTTTACCTAAAATTCCTTACTTATTTGTTGAGTAAAAAGTGCAACTTGAGAGTAGATCAACAACAGTATACAAAGGCATTTCTGGTCTTGCAAATGCCAACCTCCATCCTCTTTCTCTACTTCTGGCTTACTGACAGGCTACTTGGGATAATTCATGTATATAAAAATGAGCAATACGTTGATTCCTTACCAAAGAATAAGAAATGCACAGAAAAAGTAACCATTCTTAAATATTTTACCTGCCATGTAAAAGAATACAGAAACCTGGAGATTTGTATCATATCATGCTGATAAGAACACACACAAAAAAACTCCTCAGTCATTACCTACTGAGCACAAATTTATAAAAACGAACTGCTGGGCCACTAAATCTTTTTCTTCTGAAGTTCCTATAAAAACATAATTCAAAGTCCATGTTGTGGAAACATTTAACATTTGTTCATTTAATCCAGACTACCTACATCATTTTTGCCAAACCTAGTATTGAAAGTTGGCACCAAATTTGCCTTTGGAAGATTTCAGCAGCTTGAATATAATCCAAATGTCTGCAGGCATTTACAAAAATAGCATATCCTATTTGAGACACAGCTGTCCCCAAGCAGCAGGAATTGTATTGGTACAAATTATACTACTTGATTTAACTAGTTGTCAGGCTCCAGCTCCCTTTATACAGTGTTGGCCTTGAAATCAAAGTTATTTGGGAAGAGGGCCTTGGTCTGTCAAACATCTGTATGTGCAGAATTTTCCTTACTGCTATCCTGCCCTGTAAGGGCTCTTCTGTTCAACCAGATATATCATATATTACCATAACCAACAGAAATGTGATAAAGGACTGTGATTCCCAAAGGTCTATATCAGGCCAATTCATAAACAATCAGGAGCTAGGGATGAACAGTGACATGGCTAAATTTGTAAATGTCACAGAGTGGTTTAAGAGTGTAAACTGGAAGACACCAAAGAAAACTTTGATTTAGTTGCACTAAGTGAATGAGTATTTAAACTAATTATTTTAATATTTTTGGTATTTTTTTTATAAAAGCCACCAAGATGATGTACAATAAATTAAAAAATTTTTTTTAAGTATTCTGTACCTAGAGGCAAAAAATCATAAATCTGCATATATCATTGGGTTCTGAATTTGTAATGAATCATAATGAAAGAAATTTTTGTGAACAGCTCAGTTAAAATAATCTCAGTGTGTACTGGTGTCAAAAGATACATTGTACACCAGGAATATATTGGAATAGAAATGAAGAAAACTGCCAAATTATTAACTTTACATAGATCTACAGAGCACTCACACGCAGAATTTGCATTTTTAATGGATTGGAGTGGGGGGACAAATGTAACAACAACAACAACAAACACAGAAATACTTGGAGAATTCAGTTCACTCTAGATATGCCATGCTTGAATGGATGTTTATAAAGTGGAACATGTGGAGTAAAAGACAATACAAACCTAACAAACTAAAGCAAATATATTTAGGAAATATTGCAACATTTGGGGATTTTTTAGTTTACAAAAAAAAAAAAAAGCCAAATAAGGGGAATGTGATAGAGGTTTAGAAAATGTTCTTAGATATTTTTCTCACTCTTTCATAAAAGAAAGTCAATGGGATGTGGTGATGAAGGTGTTGGACTGGCACTTGGGAAGACACTGGGTGACTTTGTGACAGTCACAATCTCTCAGCCCAACTTCACTGGATTACTGTGGGGGGGAAATTAAGGGTGAAAAGTGCTATGTATATCATCTTAAGCTTTCAAATGAAAAACAGGTATAGAACTAATAAATAAATACATAAAATTAAAAATACTAGAATTGTTGACCTAATCACAGTGGCTATATATTCTCTCCAGTACCCAGCCAGGGTGAGTCACATATGCTGAGATATGTTTAACTTGGGTTCACAAATATAGTACGCAATAAACCATACTGTAGTTTGAGTAACATCAAGGCTAGGTTCACTCCTTGCATCAAGCCATAATGTAATTGATTAGTTGTGTGAACTAGGCACATTATTCCGAATACTATTTATTGGGAGAAATGAGTGGGAGGCTGCTGCTATTGTGCTCCTATCTAGACATGCTATTTCTAAAAGGATGTTTATACAGTAGAAAATGTGAAATAAAAGGTATCATAAACATCAAAGTCTGAGCATATTTTTTAGTCACAGTAGGAGGAAACATAGATTAAGCAGCAGGACTGTGACTATATTTTGCCTAATAGCTCAGTGAGTACCTGAGCGTCACGCCCCCTCCATTTCGTTCCCGTTTGTAGGGGCCGCCTGCCACATGGAGTCAGAAGTCAGCCAGGTGGACGCGACAGGGCGATTCTTTCACTGCTCCCTTTATTCTTTTCGTCCCCCTTTCTGGACCCGAGGCTTCAATGGAGAGGTAATAAAGGGAAGGTCCATAAACTCCTATTCCTTAATTTTATATATTGGACACGCGCATGTGAGAACACGGGACTAAAACGGATACAGCTATCGCCCCAGCGCGGCCCACTCTCCTCCCTTCTCCCCTCAAATCGACCAACCTGCTCCCGTCGCCGCCGCCAGGGGCACCGGGCCAGGCCAGCCCTACCTTCTGCCGGTTGCCCAGGCAACAACAACGTTTTTTATCATTGGCTATGCTTCTTTTGCTGGAGAAAGTCGGCCCCCTATTGGTTTACTGCCCCTCTCCATAGCAACACGATGCACCATTGGCTAGCCGCGTCCCTTCCATGGTGACATGCCTGTTTGGTTGCTATGGTAGCGGACAGGGCGGGAGCGCTGGGGATTAGCTCGTTCTCGTTGCAAAGTATGTGACCTGAAGCCATAGGTGAAGAGCAATAATCTCACGGGTGGGCGTGGCTAGGGATACGTCGGTTAGTTCTAGCTTGGGAGGTGTCGTAAAGGTTCCGCCCAAGTTGCGCGGCTCGCTGTGGAACGGTGTCGGAAGAGAACTTCCGCCATTCCCAGCCCGCACGGACAGCGCTGCGCAGAGTGGGAGATGATGCAAACGAAGTGAAAAGTATTTCAGTGGTCGGGGCCACACGAAAGACCGGCCGAACGCGTTGTCGGCCCCCCCCTGCAGCGCTGGAAGAGCGGAAGGAGAGCGAGAGGCCTCCTCGTCGCGGCCTTTGCGTTCGGTTGTTCCTTGCAGGGGCTTGGTTGCATCCGGCTTCCTTGCAATCAGTTGGTGGGGCGTCGTGTGATATTCCGCGTCGTTTCCAGGGACGCAATAGAGCGCCTTCCGCTCCACTCGAAAAGACCTAAAGGCAGCGCCAGGGCGAGCGTTCGGCTTCGGCAGGAGCAGGCCTTCAGTGAGTCGCCTCGCACGCGGAAGATTTCGAAGCGAGGCAAATCGCGACTGAGCTCGTTTGCCTCAGGCAGCGATCCTGCTTCCCTTTGCTTGTGAAAGGTCGCTCAGTCGTCGAATCGCTCCCATTCGATGCACCGGATGTGCTGTAGAGCTAATTTTCCATAGCCCTCCCACCCTCCTCGTCTTTGAAGAGCGAGTCCGTTTGGGAATAGGATTGAAGGACCGTAGAAAACCGCAGTGAAAAGGAATTACACGATTAACAAGCGGAGTAATTCCTTGTTCCAAAAGAGCTTGAGGCAACTTTTTTGGTGCGGGCTTCCCTTTAAGACTGAAAGGGCTGCATCGCAATTAAAATTGGAGGATGCGGGCATCGATCCCGCTACCTCTCGCATGCTAAGCGAGCGCTCTACCATTTGAGCTAATCCCCCTGCTCTGTAGGGAAACTTCTATAATCATGAAACCTCCATTGTAAGATGCCTTTTTCAGTAATTCAGAATTGTGATTCGGTCTCTGGCAAGTCTCGTTCCTTTTTAGAGATCTATAATTGAGCTGGTCCATTTAGCATGAAGGGACAATATTGCCAAAAGTCTGGAGGGAGTGGCATACGTAGTTCTCACGCAGGTCAGCCAAAACTCTTAACGTTTAGGAACGAAGAGCTCAACAAGATGGCTGCAGACTGAGGTGCCTCTTGGAAGCAAGAAACTGCTAGAACCCAAGGTTGTAAGACTCCTTTCACTCAGAAAACAGCAAAAGGAACGATCTGTGGCAAAAGGACTGCACTTTGAATGCGCACAGAGTTAGGGCTACTGTAGCTGGTCTGCAAACACCCGGACAGTTACTAGATGGCAGCAAAGTAATATGGAAAACTCTGGTGCCATCCATCGATCGTCCAGATTTCTGCAGCTCATACACGGTAGCTGTTGTCTGCTAGAAGAGTTGGGAAAGATATCGGGCCAATTCTGGAAGGTGGTCAGACCAAAGGATCTAAAATCCACAACAGTATTTGGGTTTTCATGCACGTGCATGCTACTGCAGGCCTCTCTTCCTCCAGCAAGAACAGCATTAAGACTTTTTTTCTATAAAAGGACAAATTGACACTGGTCTGCAGAAAAGGGAGAGCTAAATAGTAGCCAAAGGACATCCATGACACTACTAGTAAAATGATGCCATGCTCCAGCTACAATGTTGGAGGACTGGATTATCCAAGATAACATCTTAAAAGAAGAGCAAATTGATTTTTGACAAAGCTAGTTTTAGATCAGGTAGACCAGTTAGTTTTAGACTTAGTTGAAAAAATATTTAGCTCCATGGGTCACTTGTGTGCACCTTTATTGATTTCAAGGTGGCTTCTGATTCAATATTGCAGAGTTTATTATGGTCCAAGTTGAATAACTCAACAATTGATAAATGTCTTCTGCTGCTCAAAGTTAGGTTGCATGAGGGATCTTCTTGTGGATCAGCAGGACTCTTCTCCAGTTATATACCTAACTTTAAAGTGCTGTATACTAGCCCCAACTCGGTTCAACATCTATATTCTTTGATTCAGTGATTAAAAACCATAGATATTTATGCCCCTAAATTGGCAAATAGACATCTCACAGTTCTGCTATATGGAGATGATGCTGTTATTCTATCCCTAATTTAGGTAGGCCTGAAGAGGATAATTACTGCCTTGGCTCAACATTGCCAAGAGGAACAGCTAGTGATCAATTACTGAAAAATCCCAAGAAAATGGTCTTCTCTAAAAGACCCACAGCCAGTAGGTGGACTATCAACAACTATACAGTTGAACACCTTCAAATACCTTGGGGTTGTATTTAAAGCGAGGGTCACTTGTACAACTTATGCTGCCCATCTTACACAAGGAGTACCTCAGCCATTTTGTGATTCCATCATACACTAGGAAATAGTTCTCTGTTGCCTGCTGCCATCAAACTCTTTCAGGCTAAAGCTCTGGCACAACTTCTACTTGGAGCAGCACTTGGGCCAAATAGTAACTTCAGGTCACTGGAAATCATAGAATCCAGGTTGCTCAGAGTTATATCTGGCACTCCTAAATATGTTAAAACTTTAATTAGGTTAGCATCCATTCTTATCAGAGTAGAAACTAGAGTGTGGATACTAACAATTAACTTCAATTAAATTGAATTTAACTAGCCTGCTCCACCTCACTTTGAGCAATAATTTTCAATCCGGCAGGAAGGAGGCCCTTAGCATTTTGTGGTCAACTCCCAGTTAATTTATGCATATTATATACAGTAAGGACCAGGCCAGAGAACTTATCACATAGCACCTCCTGGTTAGAGCTACAATTCAGGTTAGATCAGTTATCCAGTTTCTGTGGGAACCCAATTATATTTGATCAGAGTGTCATGGCATCTTATCTTTATGCACTGGTCTATTCTCATTATTCTTTGAATGTTGATGGGCCTTGACAAGGGCATGTTGCAACATCCTTTCTTCTGGGCTGCTGCACAGCCAGTATGACAAAACTCCTGTAACTGGCTGCTTGTGGTATAGAAGAAATTAAAAGAATTACACGTGCTTTTACATTGTAGCTTTTATCTGGCCTTACACCAAAATTTATCCTTTCTTAATAAGAATGCCAGGGCAGTCAGAAATCTTAATAAATAATATAGACTTCCTATTAGCTGCAAAGAACTTTCAGATCATTTATACTGCCAAGTTGTTACCTAACTTCAAGAATGTACCAGGTGATACATCCTGAAGATTATGTTCCTCCTATATTAATACATATTAATATATCATCATCCATCTTTTTGCAAGTTTGTTTGCAATTGTTTTTCTTTTGCTGACCTTTGGCTGTAATATTTTTTATTTGATTTGACATTCATGGAGGCAGAACAAGGCAGATCGAGAAGAGAGAGAACTTAAGGAGAGGAAGGAAAAAGTGTCTTGCTAGGCAAGAAATTTTGAAAGGGCCAGATGGCAAAGACAGACATGAAAGCAAGTAATGTAACCAAATATACTTTCCTTTATTGTACATGACAAGAGCCTCACACAATTGTCATGACTGAGTCCACCATTATAAGCCTGCTGAGCTAAAGGGAGAGATGTGCTGCATAGAACTCACTTTTACAGCTGACTCACTTTTACAACTGAATTATGAAAGCACAACCAGCTTTCTCTGTGCATCCCAGATATATTTGACTACAGCTCCAATCCACATATTTAGACTAGAAATGTACAACCAAATCCATTTGTGGGTCTCAGAAACATTGGGTATTGTAGTCCCCCAAACACATCCAAAATAATGAAGTTATTAAATATATGAAGAGCAGTTATATTAAATATAGCTAAATTAAATGAAACCAACTCTCTGTCTTGATGGCATCGCTTCTTTGTCCTAGACTGGCATATTTTTTGGCATACCATTCAAGGGTCAAGTGTAGCCCTTGATCCAAAAAAGATGTGTGCTTCTGCTCTAGACAATGGGAAGTGTATACCAGTACATTCAGAGGATACCAGTTCAGGAAAGGCTGAGATACCAACTGGTGGATAGGAGGGGCAGGCCAAAAAGAAGAACCAATCTCCAACCTATTATTTCCCCACTGCATACTTTAACATACACATACATCAAAGCTCTTAGCTGAAAGACAGCCTTTGGCTCTTCAAGATATTTAGGGCAAAGTAGGGTATATAGGTCATAACTCACAGCCAAAATGGCATTTACAAGCCACTGATTCAGTTGAAGAGACTACAGCAAAACAAAGCATCTAGGGAAGGAGTGAGCATAAGAAAATGCCACTTGTCTCCTGACGTAACTTATCCATCCCTTCTTTTTAGTTTAAACCCAGACTAGGAGGTGGGGAACATCTGGCCCTCAGCCTGTGTGCATCTCAGAATTCTGCTAAATGATTTCCTGTATCAGATTCAGATTTCTCATAAGAGTAATCTGTCCTGTTTGGGAATGGAGATAAGAGACACAAAGCCAGAAGTTAAGTGTCAGAAGATAACGAGTGGCCCACCCATGTTCATCTCTAGGCCTACTACTGCTTAAGTTTCATCCATTCCAGACTGCTACAATTTATTCTCAAGGGTATGTGGCTCCCAACAGAAGAAAGGTCCTAATACCCCCACATGCAACAGGGCTGTGTTCCAAAGTAAAGTACCCTACCCAACTTTGCATTTTCTGCTCCACAATACAGTAAGGCAAAAGCATTTTTGAGGAAAGGCCAAAACCCTTTACTTTCAGTATAAAGAAATTATTGTATCAACCACTCTGAGGAATGGTAATAGCACAACCTTGGGAAATGTACAAGAAGTATCTCAGATACAATAAAGATGAGAAAAGGAAACCAATAAGGTAGCATTCAATATGAGCACCAGACTGTAGGATTGGCTCAAAACTTTAGGAGCACATTTGTGACAAAAGGTAAGAATAAAAGAAGAGCTCCATGCATAAAGTGATAGGAAAGGAAGTCACTAACCCAGCAACCAATTTATTTTGGATAATATTACTGAAAGAGGAGGTACTTTTCCATTTGCAAAAAAATAATTGCAGGGATATGCATTGCTCTCTTAAAAGCTGTCATTACCATTGAAGCTTGGGGCAGTCATATGAAGGAGACAGCCTGCCAACAGCTGCCTGGGAGGGCCTCAGCTGAGAACAAGCCTGACAGCACAGTAGATGGGGAGCTTGGAGACATCTAGTCTGGGTAGCTCTGAGTTTCTGCAACAAGTCAAAGTTCTGTTGTTCTTTGTTTTGATGGCCAGATTAAAGAATAAGCAAATTGGTACATCCTGCTTTTGCCATCAGACAGCAGTGGCCTAAACTTCATACCCAGCTTCTGAGCCTAGGATCACTGCTAGTGCCTAGAGATGATGGCAAGAGCCCAGTCCTTAATGGCCACAGTTGTATCCTGCAGATATGTCCAAGAAGATTGGATGAGGCTGGTCAGATGCATTTTCAGGCAGGTCCAGGACCCTTCACCACTAGAAGAAGAAACAGAAACTGATTAGAAGCTACAGAGACACGTGCTGAGCACGAGCCACTCAAAGAACCAAGGTAACTATTGGTGTTGACCTGACTGAAAGTAATGTGAAGAAACTTAGATGCTCCAGGAATTCTACAACCTGCAAATTAGATTGTTGCAAAAACAGTTTTATAGATTTTAAGGTGGAGATGAGGAGCCTCCCTCAAAGTTGTACCCTTCCTGCATGCTTTGGTCCTGTCACCTTCTCTATAGCCAGATTTTGTTCCACACCCCTCCTAAAAGAAGGCATGACTCAGCCAAGATAACAGAGAATTTACCACAGCAGGCCTTCCTACTGGAATGGCTGCGATTCAATTTTGTTTCTACCATGTGCTTTCCTTGACTTCTGACATAACTTGTATTCTTTTTATAGTGGGAGCAATGCATCCACTTCTTGCCTGAAAGAAGCTTGGGTTCAATATCCTCTCTGCCATATTAGGCCTTGAGTGCAGCAAGCATGGTTTGTTCCCTCCTCAGGGTGGGCAGTAAACCTGGTCCTCAAACGGATTTCAGTTAATGACTACATTTTTGCCACTTTTCTTTGGTATAAGTAGCTGACTCTTCAGCTACTTTGCAGTTCTGGTCCATCCAGATCAGAGGGAAGGATATAATAGCTCAAGCCTTTCTCAAGTCATTCCTTTTAACTGGCCTTAATGCTGGATAAGAACTTAAATGAGGAAATCCTCCATTTCTAATGGCTACTCTGCACTATATTTAAAAGAAACATTTATATTAAGTTACCTGAACCAGGGGTAGGCACTGCAGACTTTTAGATGACATTGGACTCCATCTCCCAACTTTTATCATGGGCAATGCTGGTTAGGACTAATAAGAATTGAGAATGTAACATTTGGAGGACTACAAATTGTCCTCCTCTGTTAAACAAAGTGGGATTATGTGCCCACAAGTCAATATGGAATGTCTCTGTAGCATCCTGATAAATTAGCAGGCCAGAAGCTCAACATTACTAATCCATATGGCTGAACAGCTTGGTGACACAGAGACAGAAAACAATGCAAATCTGTTTCTCTATGCTCATTTTTGCACCATTTATTCCCCTCACAACAAGGAAATAATGCAAAGAAATACTGAAGGCCACGTCTAATAACTGTGATTCTAAGGAATTAAAACCAACTTCTAAGGCCCTGCCCACGCATCTCCGAGCTCTGCATCAGAGCCTTAGAAGATAGGATATTTTAAATGATTAAACATGGGAATGCACAGGGTGCCAGATTCTCTTACTGAATCTACACTTTGTGTTCAAGTTCTATAACAAGTAAGTCATGAACTTGTGCATAATAAGTGCATTCAGAGTTCATCACTCACCCTCATACTATGGCTATAACCAGTCTGCTATTTCTCCCCAATTCCATTTTTTCAATGCTCCTTCCAGGATATATTGGGGGTCTGTCTTGTGCATCTCTAAGCAGATAGATAGTCCTCTAACTGGGGATCCTCTGACAGTTCTCCCTCATCATATGTATACACACTTTAATACTCCTGTATTCCTATCTAGCTTTAGCAAACACATAACTAGCCATGCTAAAGGGGATTAAAATCAGTTCTGTGCAGGGTGCAAAGACACGCAGACAATGCATACTTGCAAGAAGCCAACCACATTTTCCAGACTCCGTCCAGTGATGCAGCAACATAGTCCACAGCAGGCAGAAAGTAGTTTCGCATGAGGAACAGCAGTAATTCTTTGAGGTACTCAGCACCATGCAGCACAGAATCTGGCAGCTGTGTCTGAAGCTACGGGGAAAATAAGGATGCTCAGCTGGGCAGTTTTCAGTATTGACTAGTCAACCGGCTCCTCACTGGCTTGAGACATACTACTAAATACTCATCACTTGATAAGTCTAAAGAATGGCCATGTGCTAGGTCCCTGTTCTTATTTTAATTTTTATGCCAATGGTATAGAGAAAATAACAGTAGATGGTTACTGTGTCCAATATTCCTCAGTGGTATCACAGTAACAATACAAATCAGCCACAAAATCTAATGTCCACGAGATGTGCTATACTATCATTTCCATCATTTTCAGCCAGCATTATCCCTGGCCAACACTCTAGAGACATCAAGCACAGAAAGTTATAACATGCCATGCAAATTATCCCATCTGGAGGGAGAGGGGCAAAGACACTTACACCTCCTTCCCTTTAAGGAGTTCTTTGCAAGAGGAACTGGAAGCATGAAAGGATATAACTCCTCTCTGTCAGAAATAGGCATGGCAATGGAATCTTCACTTGCTGTCCCTGATGCTTCCTCCCTGTCTTCTATATGGCTTCTGCCATCTGTTCCCCCCAACCTTTATTATCCCTCAGAAGAACTACTGGTGCTCCAGCCTCTGTATTTTCTTAATTATGTGTGCAACCAGAACCAGGCAAGGTTGACAGATGTGAGCTGCAGATGCAGAATGCCAGTGGACTAGCCTTAACATGCCACTTGGTGTTGCAGATCTGTTGACAACATGACAGGGCAACTGTTCTGCCTAAGTGTAGCCTACATAGCCCCAACTTCATTTTTTCCTTCCTACCTTCGGAAATCCTCTCTGCTTCTGGACATTACAACTCTATATTTCTCCCCTGTCCTCAACTCCAAATTTCCAACCTCTACCTAGTAAAGCTTGGCTGGACAGCCGAAAGCAGCAGCACTCTTACCCATTCACTGAACCTGGGGAGGTTGCTGCTGAGCCAGGCTAAGTGAGCAGAACACTTCCCAGAGATATAGGTAGCAGTTTCATTTGTCTTGGCCCAGGCCAACTCCAAATTGGGTCCAAGCACAGTCGCCACTTGAGAGTAGTAGACTGGTATATTTGCTTCTAGCCAGCTGCAGGGAGAGAGAGGAGATGGAATGAGGCTTTGCTTTGAAAAAGGAATCACTCTCAGAAACATTATCTAGCCAGATGGAATCTCTCAACTGCCTGTGGTTTTGCATATATATAGATCTCTTGTGGATGCTCTTTCAGAAAAAAGCATCTAGGGTGCCCTCTTTGCTGAAACAGCAAAAACATATTACTGACCTGTATCCTTTTATAGAGAAATGGGAAACTTTGTTCCAGGCTTGTTCAGTTGCAGACAGGATGCCAGAAGAACGAAGGGCACGTGCAGAGGCAGAAGCTGCAAAAGAAAAAAAACTGGATGATGGCTTACCATCAGAGTGGAGCCCATGCTTATTACAGGGAGCTAAGAAGCACCATTTCACATGCCTCCATTTCTCCAGAAACAAATCCTAACCTTGGAAGGAGCCATGAGTCTTGATATCATGCATTAGAAATCCAGCAGTAAATACAAGGAGGACTAAAAGCAGCCGTGGCCAAGGAAACCCGCTGGCTTTCATCTTCAGCAGCAGGTTCTAAAGAACAAAACCAAAGAAGCAGTGCTGTAAAGCAGAATGAAGCAAATAAGGACCCATACTGGTTTGCTAACTCATGTGCTCATCCCATAACCAAATAAATTACCTTGCAGGCAGCTCTACAAGCTGCTACATCCTGAACGCTGTTTGGTCCTTTCACAGCCAGCTCTTCATTTGTGACACTGAATGAATGAACTGTTTCCTGTAAAGATTTTCGCACCTAGAAAAGAAAAAGTCCAGTATGCTACAGAAGCAACTAGTAGGAGTGGAATAATCATGTGCTTTAATTAAAGAGAACACTGCCAGCCCATCTGCATAAAGCCTTCCAGGTTCATCACTTTGTTTGAGCTTAGCGTCTCTAATCTGAGTCACATTCACAAGTGAGACAGGCACAAATAGAACTGTTTCTTAGTTGCTAACTACAGAGAATCTTTTCACTTTCTAATCTTTCTTACCCATATGTAATACACCATACTAAATTTTAGTATCTCAACAAATACTTTGTAGTATATTAAAATAATAAACTCCTTTGCATTGAATCAATCTGTACTTCAGGTGTACACTCAAGTCTTCCATGAAAAGTGTATTCCTTGGTAAAAGAAGAGACACAAACCCTTTTGGTAGTGTTGTTCCAGGTCTCCAAGAAGTGATTCAGGAGGAGGCTGAAAAAATAAAGCAAAAATATTAACCACAGGGTGTTTTAAAGAACTTTGTCTACTGAATTCAAAAATACTGGAACACAAGAAGTGTGGAAACAGGGCTGGGGAAGGCCTCAGGGTAGGGATGCCATGCGCCAGTCCCACTATATATGAAAAGGAAGTTGCTGTGCATCTTAATAAATGTCAGTCAGTTAACAGCTGGCAGTTGCTTACCATGCAGAATTTGATTAGTTTTATCTTGATTAACTTTGGTTTTGCCTGTTGTGTTAAATCAGCCCACCTTATTAGTTTATGTTGCAGTATATTATCCTAATCCAGAAAAATGGGTTGATTCAGCAGGCAGATCCAATGTATTGTGTGAACATGGCTGCTGGATTCTCCTATCTCCTCCCCCCCCGAATATGTAAATGTTGATCCAATCATTGTGCTTTATATCGTGCAAAATACAAACTGGCTAAGTTGCTCACGTGACTGAGGAGCACCTTTGTCCATTCTTACCTTGACTGTGGGAGGTGTTTGATGTATAACTGCCTCCATACACTGAAACTGAGAGGATCAAGGCTGAGGCACTTGGTCAAACAGTTCAGGAGCTGCACAGGGCAAGTCAGAATAATTCTCAGAGGACTAAAGATTACATATTTCCAAACAGGAGTCATAGTGCAGTCATAATATGACAGGTTTCAAGAAAGCAGTCTTTAACGTATCACGTTTCTGATGCCTCTGCATCAGAAAATGCTCTTCCCATACAACGTGAAAATTCTCCCCCATCTTTGGGACATGTTGAAAAAGACAAGGGTGTCTTAATGTTGCTTCTTGAAAAGGCTACCCTTAACACTGAGGATCTCATATCTGCATCAGAGCTTTAGAGAGATTTCTTCCCAGGTCTAACAGTTCCATACCAATGCCTGCCCCAAATCTAAGGATGCAAGAAATAACACATCTGAAATGGGAGAGCTCAACTATGGGGTTTGTGCATGTATATAGAAATTAAATAAATAAATAAATAAATAAATAAATAAATAAAAATAAATAAATAAATCCTGTGGAGCCTATGATTTTGCAGGGATCTTATTCTCACACATCTACCTCTCTGCTCAAACTAAAGGAGCAAAGCACAGAGCCATTCAATTTTACCAGTGAAAGAAAATAGTCATAGCTCAAAAAGGACAGCAAATGCTTGCAACAAAAAAGATGCTTGCCTCATTCCTAGCATCTCCAATTAAAAGAATAATAACCCTCAACTTTGAGGTATCAGCTCTCAAGCTACAACCACTTGAGTAAATAAAACAGTCTGGCTCAAACAACTTGATTTTGTCTAAGGTAAAACCCTTCATGTTGTAAGGTTATTTTGAACCTCCCCAAGGTTCTCTCTGATTAAAGAGAGGGACAACCACCAGTATGAATTTTAAAACCTGTAAAATCTACATTAAAATAAAATAGAATTATCATTTTGGATTAAACATGAGAATCAGTGTAACATAGCAGTTCAGGTATCTGAAGAGCAGCAGGAAGAACAAGATCCACCCTCAGGCATGAAAGCTCGCTGGGTGAATTTGGCCCAGTCTCTCAGCCTAACCTACCTCACAGGTTGCTGCTGCAGGAGAAAAATAGGGGGAATGTTACGTTACCTTGAGTTCCTGAATGAAAGGTGGGCTATAAAAACGAATTACACATGGTAAGCCAACTAACGCAAATGCATTTTCAAAGCCTTAAAAGGGTGGGAGTGGGAGACACTGTGCTGCAGTCAGGTTCCTCCTCCCCAAGTCAGCAGTTCCAGACTACGGTGAGAGGGGAGAAAAGGTCGAGCCCTCAGACACTCTGCTTGGAATAGTCCAGGACTCGACCCTCTCCCCCTATCAACAGCTACGTGAAGCCACTGGAGATCAGCTGCTCATATGGGATAAAGTATCTCCTCCCTTGGTTAGAGCACGAGATGGACTCCTTGCTCTGGTGCCAGTGGGGCTGGAAAATGAAAAACAAGACTAGGCTTAATCTCAGCAAGGTGAAGTGGCTGTTGATCTGGAAGGCCTTGAAAATGTGGCTATTTACCCAGATATAGAGAGTAAGGAAAATGACCTTGGCAGAGATATGCATGATCCATTACTAGAGTGACGAGAGGTGAAAAATATTTTAAGTCCACAACAAACAGATAGTGTTCATAAGCGGCTCAGACAGGACACCTCCCTAAAAGTATGAGAAGGGGGAGGAGGTACAGCACAATCAGACTTGCAACATTATGTTGTTATAAGCAATCTCAATAAAAGTAGTTTTAGCCATCTTGTGGAGTTGATTTCTTGGTCTGGCCTACCTAGAGAGGCTGACAACAAGAGAGTAGATGGGACTCTCCTGTTTGTGATGTTTGCTTTGTTGTTACATTGCTATCTTGTGATTATTTTGTAATTATTTCTGTACTTGTTTTGGTTACTTTTTTGTATTTTGCTGTTTTTATGTTACCTCATTGCTGTAAGCCACCCAGAATTGGTTTGAGTCGGGCAGCATCCAAAATGAATAAATTAAATTAAATTAATTGATTCAGAAGGCTTCTGATTCCAGAGGAATTCCAATTTTGGCTCTGGATTGAGTTGTTCTCCCCCATAAAGAGCGGGCTTGCAGTCCAGGGGTTCTCCTGGTCTCGTGGCTCCTGCTAGAATCACAGGACAGCCTTTGCCCACTTTTGGCTATGCAACAGCTGTGGCCTTTCCTGGAGTAGGAGGCCATAATGATCACTCAGGCCTTGTCATCTCATAAGCAGATTACTGTAATTTGCTGCATATGGGGCTAACCTTCACCCTTGAGGACAATTCAGAACTTATTTCTGGTTCAAAATGAAACCTTTCTGCACAGTAACAGGACAAGCTTGATATAGTCATGCAAAAATACTACTGTGGGATTGCACTGGTTACCAGCTGGCTTCTGGGTGTAATTCAAGGTGCTGGTTATTACCCAATAAATGTGTGGGATATTGTTAGCCATTTAGAATCTGTGGATTGAAGTGGGATATAAGCATAATAAATAAATAAATAAACCACAGAGAAAGGTTAGTTCAAAGGGCAGCTGGACAGGCTAGCTATCCCTGGAGGAAGACCCCTTCTGAGATTCTTAGTGAACAGCAGAAATCTTGTAAGAGTCTCTCTCTCAGATGTTCCAGGCTAAATACACTTACTAAAAACAGTAAGCAACACCTTGTATTTTATTGGAAATAAATTGGCAGTTAGTGTAAAGGTACTCCAAAGACTAATCTGGCTGCAGCATTTTATACCAGGTGAAATTTCAAAAGGACACACAAGAACAGTCCCATGAGCAGCACATTATAGAAATCAAACCTGCAATTTATCAATGAACGTGTTACTATTTTAAGATCACTAACTAGGAATTGATGCAGGTGGAGTATCAGCTGAAATTGCTAAAATGACTTCTGGTCATGGAAGCTACCTGAGGGATCAGGGAGAGATCTAGAATGGAGAGTAAGGAAGATGATCTTGATGGAAATGTGCAAGTACTGTTACCTTGGCAAAGGGGGCTGTTGTAAGTCCAACCTTCACCAAGTAGTGGTTCATCCAAGACAATAAGGTTATTATAGAGGGTTTCAACAACAGAATATTATCCCAGCCAGAGCTAAAGAACCAAAGTGAGTATGTGACTAGCAACATGCATGAGAGCTAAGATCAACTGTGTTTGGCCTATAGTCATCCTGGCTACTATAGGTCTAACACAGCATGTCTTGAACTGCACCAGACAGGCCAGACCCAAGTGCATAGTGAAATCACCTTGTCTTAACAGCCTACAGGATTCCAGCCCTAACTCCAAGATGGTTTGGTCAGCTCAGCCAGGGAGTTTGCAAGACTGGGAAGTAGTCAGTATATTCCTGTTCCACTGCTTGAATAGCCAGCCAAAAGAAGCTCACTCCATACAAGCCAAATCAGTTATTTCATCTATGACCAAATCACAAATAATTTTAGTATTATTCTTTGCTGATTTGGCACAGAAACAAGCAAAACTAGGTTCTGTGAGCAATTAGGACTAATTACTCAGATATCTCAGTTGACAGGGAAGCTGGAAGATATCAAATGTTAATAAAATTTGTTCACATTAATAAAACCAATAAAATGTATTTGCTTTTCTAAATGATCAAGTGAACACTTCTGAACTTCTTAGGCTAAATTCTGATAGCGTTTGGCTCTGCAGAACCAGCGGACTTCCTCTTCGTAAGCCTCACTCTGTCATAGAAAAGACTTCCCCTTGTATGACAAGACCAGACACTAAAGGATTTCAGTTTAACATGCTATTGTGCCCTAACTAATTGGGTGCCACTTTTTAATGCAGCTTATTTGTTGACTAAATGTTGCAGTCTGTCTAGTCGCTTAAGAACTAAATATGCTCCTTTTGGTCCTGTTCCCCCCCCCCACACACACACACAGCCTCACCTCTTCCTTCATGTCGCTGGGGCAGCTGGGCATGGTCCTGGAGAGGAAGGAAGGGAAGTAAGTGTGCAGGGAAGTCTCAGGATTAGCGCCAAAGGCCAGCACTTTCAGGCGGGGATACAATTGCCGAAGCTGCTCCTGCAGGCTGAAGAAAGAGGCAAACCGTATCAGTCCAACGATGTCCCAAAATGAGAAAGATGCCATTCTGCTAGAGACATCCCCCATGGATACCAGGAAAAAAAACCAGATTATAGGGGTTTAAGGATATAATGACTCTTCATTTGTTGCATCTTTCCTCCTTTATCACCCCTGCCAAGAAGTATTTTGTGCTCAACAATAGTGCAATCATTCCCTCACATGAAGGAATGTTGGGAAATTGTCATGGCCTCCATTGTTCTAAGGCAGTGTTTATCAAACTTGGCAGCTTTAAGATTTGTGGACTTCAACTCCCAGAATTCCCCAGCCAGCCATGCTAGCTGTGCTCCACTGCCTAAGGCATGGAAATACATGTCAACAACCCTGTGCAAGAGAAACAAGGGCAGAGAAAGGAGGGAGAAGAAACAGGCAGGTGCCAAAGAACAAACTCAGTGGCTACTGCCTCCTTTTGCACCTCAATTTTGTAAGTTCACTTAAGAATAACTGCAAAATGCAGGAAAAAAACAAATGACTGCTTATATTGAAAGTACTGGGTTTGGTGGACTATAAAGTTACCAGTAATATATTATGTGTTATTTGGTGCCTGACAACTCCTTCTACCTTTGTACCTGTAATGTATTTTGCAATTTAAAAAAAGCTGAAGAATAATATATAAAGTTTTTGCATAAGTCAAAAACTGAACTTGGAATAATTCGTCTTGCTATGGAAAAACTATCAAGGAGAAAAAAACGACAGATGTACATGGCTGCAGAAAATGGCTGGTTTGCATCCTACTTTTTACTTTTTGTAGTTTTTATTATCTAGTTATTACTGCTCCATTTGTGCAAATATTGTAGCCTTTCTGCTTGTACTTCTACCTCACATTTACCATCATCTCCTTTGGCGGCTTCTTTACCAAGGGAGCAACTTTCATTAAATAAATAAAATAAGTATAAAAAATCTGGCTGGCTGGTGCAATACAGTGCCTGCTCCTGTGAGGATTCTACGGGCCATCCATCCATCCATGAGGAGAACAGTGTAGCAAAAGTTGCCCTGACTCAGCAGTTATTTGCCCCAGTTCCAGATTGCCTGCTGTCTTTTTTTCTGCCCCAAAGTTTTTCCACCTATAGAAGAGGCATTACCACTGCAATATTTTCTGAGAAAGGGGAGGTGGACTTCTCATCACATATGATTCTCCCTTTGGTTGACATACCTGGAGGATAAAGAGTTGTTGGGCATGAATGCAAAATCCAAAAGAGGGAAGAAGTCCTTGGGCCCTATCATGCCAAATCCTTTTGTCAAATTGGGATGCATCCTGCCAAGGAGAATGTATGGTTAGCTGGCTTAGCCTGCCCCCAGAGTCCTGGCTATCACCACCAAGTTAGTCTCATTCCAAACTCTTCTTCCACATCTAGTTCCCCTCAGGATCAGGATAATTCCACCCAATGCACGTATGCAGAAAGGCATTAGTAATCTGTATAAGAATTATCAGAGCTTTTAGCATTCTGGCCTCCCTCCTTCTGCATCACCAAGATTCACCTCCATCTGTGAAATCTGTCCCAGCCCTCCTACTACAGGACCAAGACTCAGCTCCCTATAGAGCAAGAGACCACAAACATTTAAGCTGTAACAAAACAGACAAAATATGGAGGAAAAAGAAATAAGTGAACTGGAACTGATTCCAAGGTTGCTTAGCTTTGTTCAGAACATCTGTGAGAGTTCAAACACACACCATTTTAAATCTGTATTTGAAATAAAAATGGAAAGAAAATATGGACTAACAGTTCTTCAGTTATTTTGCTGTTTGTGAAGCCTCTTGGAAAGTTATGCCAATTTATAAATTATAGTCTAAAACCTTTCCCATTGGTCTGCATTTATATGGAAACAAATTTGGCATAAACAAATTTCCCTCCCTGGTGGTAGGGGGAAGGATTAAATAACCTGGCAGCAAAGTCAACATGCACGAGTGTTTCCCAATAACAGCACTCCCAGCTATACATCAACTCACATCAGCAGCCGATCCAAGTAACTGATGGCATATGGAGAGAGAGATTTGATGCCCAGAACCGGGAGCATGATGCCAAGCCACACTAGGAAGAGAAGGGACATAACAGTACTTTTTTGGGGGGAGGGGGGAAACATGCTGCACTAGGTTCCAGTTTGCTTCTGGGTTCAATTCAAGGTGTTGGTTATTACCTTTAAAGCCCTACATGGCATGGGTCCAGGTTACCTGAGGGACTGTCTCACCCCCATTACATTATCCTGTCCCACCCAGTCCGGCAAAGAGGGCTTGTTGCGGACACCGTCAACAAGAGAATATCGGCTGGTGGGGCCCAGGAAGAGACCCTTTTCTGCCATTGCCCCCACCCTTTGGAATATTCTCCCCGCAGACGTGTGGCGGACCCCTACCCTCCCGGCTTTCCAGAAAGGATTAAAGACCTGGCTCTGCCAACTTGCATAGGGTGACAAGAATCTTACCCAATCCTGGGGGTGGCTGGCGCCTTGATGACACCCTCTGAGCTACTGCCAATTTAACATCTATTTTTGGATTTTATTTATTTTCTATTTATTCAGGATCATTTTATATTGTATTTTAATTGATTTTAACTGTTCTGTAAACCGCCCAGAGTCATTTTTGATGACAAATTTGATAAATAAATTGATAAATAAATTGATAACCTTCCACTCCTCCATGAAGGAATTCAGCACTGTCCACTCAAAGGGAGTGGGGTATTCCTAAGCAGTTTCCCTCCCAGGCATAGACTAATTCTGTTTCCAAAGGCTGCTGCTCCATGCACATCGAGGCTGCTGGTTATTTGCCAAAGCATGGGGCTGAACATAAGGGGGTCTTGTCACTCTCTGGGAACAGCTTTGCTCTTCCCACTCCTCCTGTTGGGAGTAAGGCTGCCCTAAGAATGTGGCCAGGTAAAGCTGTAAAAGTTGCAGATTTAATCAGTTTGACGTGCCTTTAAATAGCTGTTACTGATGTACCGACTTTTTTCCTGTTGTTTCACTGTGAAAGTTGAAAGTGCAGCATAGCACTATTTCAGCATAAGCACCTTGAAGTACCCGTTTCTGAAAGAGTTAGCGTAGGGATGAGACTCCGCCGACCAAAGTTAAGGCACAGTCAGGAGCTTTCCCAAGTCTATTCTAATGTATGAAAAACTTTAACAGGATTGTCTCACTTAACATGCGGGAACATATTTGTTTATGAACATGAAGAACACTTCTTTGGAGAAACATCAACTCAGAGCTGTTATTAGATTCCTTATCAGATACTGCTCTTTGAATGTTAATTACAAAACAAGTTTAGCTAGTTTGAAAAACTTAAACGTGCAACATTCTTTATTTTAGGTTTCATTCCTAGACTCTTTCTGGTCAATTTTGCTTTTTATGATTTCTGTCTATAGTAGTCAGTAGTTTTAGGAATATATAGGCAAGCGGGGTTTTGCAGAATACTTAAGTACAAATGTTAAAATAATGGCATGTGAAAAATATTCAAATCTTTAAAAGCTGCCATGAATTTCAAGGCATAAAAAGCAAACATTCCTGATGACCTTAAAAATCCTGCTGTTCTCACCTTTAAGCCCTTCTGTAAGATCAGCAAAACCAGCTTGCCCCAAGGCCCACATAATGGTCAGACATTTGGCTGGCCGATTCTGATGGGATCTCAACAGCTCAAGATACTGAAGCATAAAAGGCAAAGACAGTTCAGTGTAACATTTGTAGCAGGAAAGTATGCAAAGCAAATAATAAATAAGGAATCACTCTGCATCACAGGGACAACGGCTTCTTGCTAACTGGTCTCACCCAACACGGTGTCCTCAAGCATAAAGTAGTCAATCCATTTGGCACTCCATGGACCAAAGTACAGTTAAAGTCTTCCAATATTCAACTTTACCCAGATACTCTTGAATAACCCATAGACATTTTAG